GGCATCTCTTTGTAACTCCAAGCAAAGACATCCCTAAACTCCTTGAGTAACTCAATATAAGTGCTTTCTTCATCAACTTCAAGTAAAGCACTTAGGTAGATGGGTTTTGGCTCTTCATCAGTGCCAAGGTTTACTTCTTTTAAGGCATCAACTGTCGTCTTCACCCCTTCTTCAAGTTCAGGTGGAGCATCTTTCGCATCTTCATCTTCTTGAGGGTCCCCATCATTGAAGTATATATGATAACACGGTGAAACATCCTCCAATTTCTCGTCATCCTCCATTAGAGATAAAATACCCTGCTCGCCTTGTGCAGTAACATGATACAAAGAACCCACACTTTCTTCGTCTTCATCACGTTCTTTAGTGTAGACCACAGTGTATGGCTTCACCTTTAGTACCTCTTCACACGAAACCATGACTTTTGTTTGTCGCCTCATTCTAGAAGGAACCAGACTTGGAAATCCTTAGAGATCTTCTGAATTTTGGGCGAAGCGGGTGGTCTTGTATTTCGATAATTTCTTCGGAACTTACTCCCTTTCTTTAATGGACCCAATCTCTCAAATACGGAAGCCCTAACATTTGATTTTCCAAGTCGATCAAAGACAAAAGGCTTGTTAGAAGAGGCAAATTCATCTTCTACACTGATATAATTATTGCTCGCCCTTCTTATGGAGATGCGCACTGGTGACGGTTGCTTGTATCCCAAACCTTCACGTGGTTTCCTCATTGCAGCTTCTGATGGGAGCTTCCCTAACTTTAACGGTTCATTGGGATTGTATCCAGCTTTTGCAAATAGCCTATAAGCGTTAGGATCAAAACCTTCGCCTGTTCGCTTTGTAGTTGGGCCACAAACCCTGCAAGTGGCTTTGAGGACAACTTTATTGCCTCAATTCATTTTACCGGAAGAGTTAACTCCATTAGCATATTAGTTTGGAGATTAGATGATTCACCTTCATCTTTCTTCCTTTTAGGGACATATTGGAGCGCAGGAGTTACTTTCTTGCCATAAGACGCAATATCCCCTCTATAAGGTTTAGTTGAGTTAGGTTGTACCTCCTCATTAACAACTTTGGCTTTACCAGCAGTCACCTCAGCTCTTTTAGTTGTGGGCTCGTCATTCTTGCTTTTCATGACATGATCGGCTTTTAGCTCCTTCACAATGCGGTTTTTCAAGTAGAACTGTGCATCAGCGAAGTGTGACTCAGCCTCGGTGAATGGCTCATCATCAGCAACTATCTTCTTCTCGACTTCACCCTCGTAGTATTTTAAACACTGATGGTAGGTAGATGGAACTACTTTATTCTCATGTATCCAAGGCCTTCCAAGCAAGACGTTATATGAAGTCTTTGCATCGATCACATGCAGCCATGCACTTGATTGCATATCTTTGATGGTGATTCCCAACCTGATCGCACCTATGGCTCTTTGCCCCCCTTGGTTGAATCCTTGGATCATCACGCGACTTTTCAAGAGTTTGTTCGTGGGAATACCAAGTTCTTTCACAATGTGAATTAGCAAGATATTCACTCAGGATCCTCCATCAACCAAAATTCGATTTACCTTTTCATCACACATATAGCCAACCGGGTACAACAGGCAGTTATGAAGAATGTCACCTAGTAGAAGATTGTCATTTGTGAACGTAAATTTTTTCTCGCACGCGTTAACTTCTTGAGGAATAGACCCGATGAGCTTTTTTGAAGATGGTGCCAACGATAGATCATCACTCTTTTCTTCCCCTTTATCAGCATTGCAACAAGAGGCCTCAATACCATTACGGGAAATCTTCATGCAGAACCAACATGGTAAGAAATCCTCCAAAGTCACTGGATGTCGTGGCTTTTGAGGGTGGTGCACCTCCACTTTTGCATTCTTCAAAAACCTAACTGGATCCTTTTTCCTTGGTCTTTTTACCATCATTTTCCTTGTTGGTTGTTCTACTGATTCTTTTCGTGGGCTCCTTCTGTGGCGCCTACGACGAGTCACCAATGCCCAACCTTCGTCATAATCAGGTTGATCGACTTCAACTTTGTCGTTCTCCACTAATTCTTCATCTTTACTATCTTTAAAACCACATAATTCATCCGGACTGAATGAGCCAAAGGTGATAGAGACTTGGTTTGCGCTTGCTTTCTCATCTTCAAGCAAGATCTTCTTTTCACGAGCCAAGTCCATAACTTTGTCCTTGAAGACAAAGCACTTCTCTAGAGGGTGGCTCACAAGTCGATGGTATTTGCACTAATTTGGGTCATTCATTTTACCAGCTTCATTTGGCCGCTTCATCTCCGGAAGCTCAATGAGATTTAACTCGAGGAGTTCTTCAAAAATTGCTGGCCCATCAGAATCCAGAAATAGGTACTCATTCTCTTGCATTTCTTTTAGAGTCAACTTCCCACTTGGTTTATCTTGAAAAGAAGTGGATTTCGTACTCTGCTTCTTGCTCACCTTCGTTGTGAACTTCACAGGTGATGTGTTGACATTCATGGCTTCTTTGTTTTCAGAGTTGGGTGCAAACTTGTTCCATTTCCTGATTTCTTGCTAGTCGTTCCCTTTGCGAGGCTCATAGATAGGAAGCCTTTTGTTTCCAGCGGAGGCCATGCTTAACTCCATGTCATGGGCACGAGTTCCAAGTTCTTCAAATGTGCTAGGCTTGATACCTTGCAAGATGTAGCGGAGTCCCCAATACAGCCTTGGATGCACATCTCTATGCCAGAAGCTTCACTAAGCCTCTCTTTGCAGTTGAGGCTTGTATTCCTCCAACGATTGATAAAGTCGATAACTGGTTCACCCTTTCGTTGACGAGTATTTGTAAGTTCTATCATACTCACAGTATGTCTCGTGCTATAAAAATGATTGAGGAACTCTTGCTCTAGTTGATCCTAGCTATCAATAGATCCAGCCTCGAGGTCTATGTACCAGTCAAAAACATTTCCCTTTAGCGAGCGGACAAACTGCTTGACGAGGTAATCTCCATAAGTTCCAGCATTGTTGCACGTCTCAAAGAAGTGCGCCACATGTTGCTTTAGATTTCCTTTACTTTCAAACTGTTAAAACTTTGGAGGTTGATAGCCAGCAGGCATCTTCAATATATAGACCCTTTCAGTGTACGACTTTGCATATGTAAGGGAGGACTTGGCAGCAACTTCCTACTTGTTCTTAATAGTTCCTTCAATGAACTCTTTCAGTTGATCGATTGGAATCATTCCTTCAGATGAGACATGGATAGCCTTAGCGGATGCTACTTGTCTTGGGGCAGAATCACTCTTTGAAACTTCTGGGAGCTTGCCAGGTGCGTGGGTGGATTCTTCCATCAACATTCCCACCCTATTTGTTAGCTTTCCGATTCTAGCATCTTGATTTTGCATGCACTTGGTCAAGCCAGCTATTGCTTCCATCAAGTTTGCCAACTGCTCCTCCACAAATGAAGTGTTTGTGACCATGGCTTGCATGATTGTTGTGGATGATGGAGAGTAGCATGGATTGTCACACAGATTGATCCTCGATTGGCTCACATTATGTGGTGTAAGTGGAGAGGATCCATCACTTGAAGCATCATCATCTTCCTTCACAGCAAAGTTCTTGGATCCGGAGAGGTCAAGCAGAGCAAGAGTTTTCTTAATCTTTTCAGCAACATCGCTCCCTTCTTCGGGTGTGTTTGTGGAAGATATTGCTCATTTTGAAAATAGGGGTTGATGCGGACGGCACTTGGAGTGTTTGTTGTCCTAAAGAGCTTGCCTTGCTCCTTGTAAAGCTTCCAAAGGTAACATCAAGAATGCTTTCCACATTAGCGTAGAACCTGAAATTAGCAGCCTTGGTGGAAGTTGATACGGAATTGATTTTTTTTTGAAGCCATTTCGATGTTCTTGAACTTTGGTGATTGAAGATGAGAGGTAGAGATTGTCCCACCGGGCATGCCAGAATTTATAGACAATAAATTGCGTCAAAAAAATAAAATCAAGACCGAAAAATATTGCAATAACCGTAGTATTTGATTTCAAATAATATGAGTGTACAATCTCTATGGATCCTATGATTCTTCTTTCCAATAGTAAATAAATTCAAGGGCCTTTGAGCTTGATCTTGAATATGTAGTTGTTGCCACGAACGATGATCTTGAATTTAACTAGCACGAACTTTGATTTGAACTCGTACTCCTTGAACCTTGATTTGTTCTTCGTTCTTGAGCTTGAACTTGATTTCTTGAACTTGAACTTGATTGCTTGAAGCTTGAAACTTGTGGAGAAATTTGCAGTGTTTGATCCATGAGCTCTTTCTTGCTTCTTGTTATAACTTCTGGTGTCTTCTCCAAGTTATGAAGACCCCTATTTATAGTTGTGGGAGAGAAGAGTTATGATAAGAACAAACTCTTTCCGACCAATCAAACTAAAGTGTGACAAGGCCGCATTTGATTGGCCCGAACATGTCACTTGCACACGTGGCACGATTTTATTGGCCTTTTAATTTGACTTGGCATGCCTTGTCATTTTGACACGTGGCACGATCCTATTGGCTCTTCCGTTTGATTTGGCGCGCCACGCCATTTGACACTTGGCGCCAAACTGGGCCTCTAAGAAGATGACATCTTGGGCCTAATGAAGTGGGCTTATAATTTGTAGCCCAACTAAATGGGCTAGCCCGATCAATATTTGTTGGACTTAAGTAATTAACCCAATTATATTAGCCCATAATATTTATTTGGACTAGTATATTTAAAATATAATCTAAACTATTTATTGAATTTGAATCCAATAAATTTTACATGCCTACAATGATGAACCATAAAAACCTGTAGAAATAATACCAGGTAGTCACTCTAAAAGGTTGCTATTTAGGAATTAGCAAGTGTATTCCGAATTTTAATTTTTTAGTTTAACTTTTTAGGATAAAAATATTCCTAGTTGTCCTGGAGTTAAATTTTTACTTTAATATCTCAGGACAAAAACGACTATATATGCATTTGTCGTTTAAATATAAGTGGCAAAAAACTATTTTTGAAAAAATAAAAGAAAATAAAGAAAGTCCCTCCTTCCGACACTGCTGCCGTTTCCACTTTCGGGGCTTTTCCTTCACTTCAGTCTTCAGAGTACTTTTCTTCTTAGGTACCCTCTGGCGGGAAGAACAAAACACACACACACTACTATGAGTTGGGTTACGGCGAAAAACGTAGTCGTTTCAGTTCCGCGTTGGCGGTCACTCTCCCTTTTCCTCCGTCCGTCACTCCCACTTCGCCGCCGCTTCTTCTCTTACTCTTCACCTCCGCTGTAAGTCTTTTCTTGCCTAAAGTTTAATGCTTTTATGTACATACTCATTTGTGGAGGAGAAAGGTCACTAGTTGTTGGGTTGGTTTTGGGTGGTGGTGGTGGGGTGGAGAAATCACCGCAGGAAAGATAGTATACTAGTATTTGTTATGTCAAAGAGGCCCAAAAGACAAGAGTTGTCATCTAGTTTGAAAATGCTGTGCTTTTCCACTGCTATTCATGAATAATTTACGGAGTTCAAGAAAGAAATGAAGATATATTTGTGTGGCTATAAATTACTCCCTTCATTCACTTTTACTTATCCACTGTTCACTTTACACGCCCTTTGAAAAATAATAAATAAAGTGCATAATTTATGATGATATCCATATTAATTGGTGTATAGTCTTAGTGAATTTGTAAAATAATTTGGAATGATTAATTAATGCTAAGGGAAAAACAAGAAAAATAATTTTTTTTTCTTGATATGCGAAAAGTGACAAGTAAAAATGAAAATTTATTTTTAGAATACTTGACAACTAAAGTGACCGGAGTTAGTATTTCATTAAGTGTAAAAATGAGAAGTTTAAAATTAAATTGTTTCTAAATATACAAAGATGTCATTCTTTTTGGAATAGATGGAAATGGAAAGAGCGTACCATAATTGGAGGAGTATTACTTGTTTGTATTCTTTTGTGTGTGTTTATATTGGAAAGTTGAGTGAAGCCTATTAAGGAATTCAGATTTTCTGCCTCCTGAAGTTAAAAGATGACCAAATGCAGTGAGTTGTTTTAAAAAACAATTGGGCTTATTTTGAGTACAAAAAATGGGGATATAGAGGTTTTGAGCAGTGGCTCCATGTGTGCTCGTCAAGGTTGGTGCTTTCGATCTTTCGCACCCGAAAGTTCATTTCTGTAATTGGATGTGAGAAAATTGAGTGAATTAGCTATCATTCATTATGTCAAAAATGTTGGATTTCACTGTTTAAATTGGCATTTAATCATGCTACTTTTCAGGTTAGGGCGGCATGTTCTGCCTAAGACTCCACCTTTTGCTACCGCAGACCATATTAGTTTTCTGGAGTGAAGATAGATCAAAAGCATGAGTGAAGGATAGAAATAGGAATTATAGTACTATTGGTAGTCGGTGAACATTTCTACTGACGAATCACTTCAATAGCACGGTGTTGTGTCGCGAGGCACAATCATGGAAGCACTAGAAAAAGTAATGTATCTAGACCATCTGTGCTATCTGTTCGAGTAAGCTAGTTTAAAAAAAAGTTCCCATATAGACACAAGGGATGTTGGAGCTGCAAGAGGGTCCGTCCATCAAATGATAGGTTAGATAGATGGGCTTGTATGAAAAATTGACCCCAAGTTACCTAACAGAGATGTGCTTGAATAGGGGATTCATTGTCAAAAAGGACAGGCAGGAGTAGGACATTTATACTAATCTTTTTGATCTGCTGGCTTGGTGGTCCTTTCAATCTCATTTTGCCATTGAACTGTAAATGTGCTGTCTCATTCTAAGAACTCAAAAACTCTCCCTCTCTCTAAATAGAAAAAAAACTCATTTGTAAGCAATTCCTCCCTCCCCCCCCCCACCCCCCCACCCCCCCAAAAAAAGGCCTTTGCTCTCCTATTTGATGGGGCTACTAGAGAAGTAGCATTGTTTCTTGGCTTCTTTTTTTAGTCAAGCTTCTGTGTTCCTTAGCGTAGTTTCTTTTCCACAGTTTAAGACTCCGTTTTTTATAGCCTAGTTTATATTACAGCTGACATGACTCCATACTCGATGCTTTTTTTTTTTATAAGGGTAACTTCTTAACTTTGTTGCCTTAAAAAAGGGAAAGTAAAATAGGTATCAGTTATCACTCCTTGAGTAGTTGCTCACCACTGGTTTGTTCCTTCCATGTACACCATTTCTTTGTGAGTGCTCTGCTTGCTTGTTATCGCTCTACTTCTGCTGACAACCAGTTTCAGATTCTTCTTGAGGCATCGTTTAACTAGAGATTTGTATAAACTCTATTTTGGTGCTCAATGTTGCATGATAAAATAAGATAGATAAATAGATGGATACTATAAAAAGCTAATGGCTTTCTCTTCTTATAATTGATTTCTTCCACACAATCAGCATGTGATAGATTATCTAACCCCGTGCATCCTTGCTACTAGTGGGGGTTTGTCTTTCAGATAAAAACTTGCCCTTTAAGCGATGGGATTAGGAGCTTTGTCCTCCTTAGCTATAAATCTCGAAACTTTCCTTTGGGTAGCAAACCTGGTGGTTCTGATGCTGTCTAGTTTGAGATTGATCCATTATTAGAGCCTGCCTCTGTCCTATTTTGGACAAGTTGTAGAAACTTTCTTGAAATTTGCATTTGGATCTTTAATCAGTTTGAGCCTTTGAGGCTGAATCACAGATAGAAACTGTACCTTGGTGCTCTTTAAATGGTCTATGGAAAGATAATTTTGAGGGCTGAATAAATAAAAGTAAAAGTTTTAAGGTGTAAAGAGGATCAAAGTATTTTCTAGTAATTTTGATGGTAAACTGAGAACCATTAAATCGAGGAATAATCAGCCATTTATGGTTGATGGCACACACAGTGTTTGATCTACAGGTTGTTGTGAGTTGAACATATTTAATATATTTATGACTAAGAGAGTTCCTATTTATCATTCTACTCTTTGGGATAAGATAACTTCAGGCTTCATATGTTTTTTCTTTTGAGTTCAGTATTTCATAAAACTCTCATATCAACAACCGCTGACAAATTTCTGGATTCACATATTCTTTTTCCAATTTCTGTATTCACCCGCGTAGTGTCAGGTGCCGAGAGCGGATATGTTGCTTGAAGGAGCGAAAGTTGTTTACCACAACCGCAAGAAAACTCAAACAACCAAAAGGTGTTCCAGAGGAAAAAGACTATGTTAACATTATGTGGTGGAAAGAGGTAGTTTACATTTCTCTTAATGACTGGGTTGATTGATAATTGCGAGATGCAAATCTATGATTCTATTCCTTTTTATAAACAAGTGTAAACAAGAGTTTAATTATCGTATAATGTTCTGCCACCATGACTTTATGTTTGTAGAGGATGGAATTCTTGAGAAAGCCTTCTTCTGTTCTACTGGTTAAGAGGCTTACATATTGTAACTTGCTCGGTGTGGATACAAATTTGAGAAACGGAAGGTCAGTTCTTTCAAGTTGTCTGTTGATCCTTCCTTTATGCAGTTTTTACATTAGTTTTTGTTCCAACTTAGAGAAGAGTTTAATCAAGGTTCTGGGAGACTCCATAAAGCTCACCTACAGGTGTTAGTCCGTTAATCTAACATGTGTAGGTTTTCTGCATTACTTTGTTCATCTATGAATTGGAATCTGAAGCTCTGCTGAGAAGAGTTTTAGATTTCTTTAAGATCTCCTTGTCTTTCCTTGCTGATAATTGTTTTTGTATTTGCACATTCTTGGTCTAATATCCTCATATAGATATAACCCTGTCAGAAGTGAGTTGTTGACTTGTGAACTCCACAAAGTGCAAACTGCAGTATCTACGTATTTCAATGTTTTTAGCTGAATTTTCTGGCTATACTCACATGGACATAAATATATTAATCATAATGTGCTAAATGATGGTTAGGCTTTGCAAATTGCACAAAAACCGTAACGATATTATTTCCTGTTTGACATGGCTTAGGGAACCCTTCTGAAAAGCAAAAGAATCCAGGCTGCTCAAAAATTCGTCAAAAAACATTTTGTAACAGATTTTTTTTTTGCTTCTTGGGTAGCGTTCAAGGTCGACCGTACCAAGAAGCAAAAAAATCCATACAAACTATTAACTGTCCGATCTGCACACCGACAAATAAAAAAATACATATATACATATGCTTATGTCTCCGCTTGTCTTTGTTTGTCTATTATTTGTCCCATATTTCTTAAGTTTTAACAAAGGCTACCTCGTATATTTATCAGTCTTAAAGATGGAACACTTAACTGGGAGATGTTGCAGTTCAAGTCAAAATTTCCGCGTGAAGTTTTACTTTGCAGAGTATGATTTTACAGCTTTCATTTACTCTTCTTTTACATGTGCTTGAAAGTCACGTATCAGTTCCTCAATCTATGAGGACTCTACTCAAAGTCAATGATGAGTGCCTCTTGTTCTTCTCTGACTTTCCAGGTGGGCGATTTTTATGAAGCAATTGGATTCGATGCTTGTATTCTTGTGGAATATGCTGGATTAAATCCATTTGGTGGCCTACGTTCAGATAGTATACCGAAAGCTGGTTGTCCAGTTGTGGTACTGGTTTCATTTTCTGTTTATATATATTTTCAATTTTCTCTTCTGTGAAAATCATAGATAGTTTAAGACAGGTAATTCCAAGAATTTGGAGGTCACTAGTTTTCGGCCCTCAGGAAAGGGAAGGTTGAATTAAGTTTTCCGTTTAAAAAGTTTGTACATCACATATTTTGCATGAATGGACCGCCATGCTAACGTAGGTTTCAGAACTAATTTCTCTTGTGAACCAAATTTTGTTCCCTTAAGGATATCTTGTTTCTGACCATGTAGAAGCTGAGCTTGAAGCTGGATTTGTTTTCTTTACCTCTTTTAAAAGGGTAAAGAAGCTTTTAAATATGTCTAAGCTGATAATATGCCAAAGAAATAGGGAGATCGATTGATTTTCTCATTTTTTTCCCTTCCTTTTTTCCTTTTTAATTACTTTCAAGTATAAATGCTTCCTACTTTTTGAAGTTGGTTGATGGAGAATCCCTTTTACTTATTCTGTTATCTTCCTACATAATAATGCTCGAGAAAACTGCCAGTAGAGTATGCTGAGTTCCTCCTGTATTCCTTACGTTGTTTTTTTAAGATAGACTTTTTGTTATTTGTTTACTCTTATTCTGTGTTCATACTCTGTCAGTTTCATTCTTTGTCTGTAAACTTTGTCATTTTTTTGTTCTTTCTGCAGAATCTAAGACAGACATTGGATGACCTCACACGTAATGGCTTCTCTGTGGTTTGTGCCATCCCCAAACATTCTGTTGGAACTTTCATTATCCTTTTTGTGTTCCTCTATATATTTTAATACTTGAGAGGATGGAGTGGTAATTTTTATTGATATGTTTAATGAACTTGTAAAAGCTGGCTTGTCTCTGTGAGAATGCACGAGAGAAAAATCTATTTGATTAATTATGACAATGATACAATGAGCCCTATATATATAATACATGTCCTACTCCTAATACATATGGGATTAGAGTTATTTACTACTATTTAACTCTCAAACTAACACTCCCTATCAAGCTGGTGCATATAAATCATATGTACCAAGCTTGTTACATATATAACTAATACGAGGACCAGTGAGGGACTTGGTGAAAATATCAGCAAGCTGATCATTCGACTTCACAAATTTTGTAGCAATATCTCCCGAGAGTATCTTTTCTCTAACAAAGTGACAGTCAATCTCGATTTGTTTAGTTCTCTCATGGAACACTGGATTTGACGCAATATGAAGATCAATTTGATTATCACACACAAGTCCCATCTGACTAATCTCACCAAATTTCAACTCCTTGAGCAACTGTTTGATCCAAGTTAGCTCACATGTCGCCATAGCGATTGCTCGATATTTTGCTTCTGCACTAGACCGAGCAACCACATTCTGTTTCTTGCTCTTCCAAGACACCAAATATTCTCCTACTAAGGCACAATATCCAGACGTAGAACGTCTACCAGAAGTTGATCCCGCCCAATCAGCATCTGAGTATCCAACGATCTGCTCATGGCCTCGATCCTCAAACAATAAGCCTTTGCCTGGAGCTGATTTTATATACTGAAGAATGCGGACAACTGCATCCCAATGACTATCACATGGAGAATCCATAAACTGACTCACAACACTCACAGGAAAGGAAATATCAGGTCTAGTCATTGTGAGGTAATTTAATTTACTAACCAACCGCCTATATCTTGCAGGATCACTAAGAGGCTCCCCCTGTCCTGGCAGAAGTTTAGAATTCGGATCCATCGGAGTGTCAACAGGTCTACAACCTGTCATTCCTTTCTCCTCAAGAATATGTAAGGCATACTTCCGTTGTGAGATCACAATACCTGAGCTAGACTGAGCGACCTCAATACCTAGAAAATACTTTAATCTGCCCAGATCCTTAGTCTGAAAGTGCTGAAAGAGATGTTGCTTCAACTTACTAATACCATCCTGATCATTGCCGGTAATAACAATATCGTCAACATAAACGACCAGATAAATACAGAGATTTGAAACAGAATGTCGATAAAATACAGAGTGATCAGCTTCACTACGAGTCATGCCAAACTCCTGAATAACTGAGCTGAACTTACCAAACCAGGCTCGAGGAGACTGCTTTAGACCATAGAGGGACCGGCGCAACCGACATACAAGGCCACTAGACTCCCCTGAGCAACAAAACCAGGTGGTTGCTCCATATAAACCTCATCCTCAAGGTCACCGTGAAGAAAAGCATTCTTAATGTCCAACTGATATAGAGGCCAATGGCGAACAGCAGCCATGGATAGAAAAAGGCGGACTGATGCAATTTTAGCCACGGGAGAGAAAGTATCACTATAATCGAGTCCAAATATCTGAGTATATCCTTTGGCAACAAGACGAGCCTTAAGTCGATCAACCTGGCCATTTGGACCAACTTTGACTGCATACACCCACGACAACCAACAGTCGATTTACCCGAAGGAAGAGGAACAAGCTCCCAAGTACCCCTCGTATGTAAAGCAGACATCTCGTCAATCATAGCTTGTCGCCATCCGGGATGAGACAATGCTTCACCTGTAGACTTAGGGATGGAAACAGAGGACAAAGATGACACAAATGCACAATGGGATGGTGAGAGATGATGGTAACTTAAACCGACATAGTAAGGATTAGGATTAAGTGTGGACCGTATACCTTTTCGTAGTGTAATCGGTTGATTAAGAGGAGACAAGTCCGTAGTATTAGCAGGGTCAGGTGCAGGACGTGAATTAGCTGGGCCTGATGTTGGGTGCGAACGACGATGATAAGTCAGGAGTGGTGGAGCTGTAGAAGGTTGAACTGGACTAAGTGGTGGCACTGGAGCTATAGTTGGTGGCACTGGACTCGGTGGTGGCACTAGAGCTATAGGTGGTGGAGCTGCAACTGGAACTGTAGATGGTGGAGCTATGGAGGAAGATGAATGGGAGATAGAGACTGAATCTCCAAAAGAAGGAACTGGTAGCACCTCAGAAATATCTAAGTGATTTACTGGACCTGTGAAGTATGATTGGGTTTCAAAGAAGGTAACATCAGCAGACATAAGAATCGCTGAAGGTCAGGAGAATAACATAGATATCCCTTTTGCGTTCTCGAGTAACCCAGAAATATGCACTTAAGAGCACGAGGAGCTAAATTATCTTTTCCTGGAGTAAGGTCATGAACAACGTACTCCCAAACACACGGGGTGGAAGAGAGAACAAAGGTAAGTGGGGAAACAGGACAGAGAATGGAACTTGATTTTGGATAGCTGAAGATGGCATACGATTAATAAGATAACAAGATGTAAGAACTGCATCTCCCCAAAAACGCAGCGGAACATGAGATTGTATGAGTAAGGTACGAGCAGTTTCAATAAGATGTCTATTCTTTCTTTTAGCTACCCCATTTTGTTGGGATGTATACGGACAAGACGTTTGATGAATAATCCCATGGGAGTTCATAAATTGCTAAAATGGGGAAGACAAATACTCTAGGGCATTATCACTACGAAATGTGCGGATAGAAACCCCAAATTGATTTTGAATTTCAGCGTGGAAGGTCTGGAAAATAGAAAATAACTCAGACCGATTTTTCATCAAAAATATCCAAGTGCACCTGGAATAATCATCAATGAAACTGACAAAGTAGCGAAATCCCAAGGTAGAACTGACCCGACTAGGACCCCAAACATCTGAATGGACTAAAGTAAAAGGTGACTCTGCTCGATTATCAAGACGCCGCGGGAAATGGGAGCGGGTATGCTTACCGAGCTGACTTGACTCACACTCTAAAGTGGACAAGTGAGATAAGCCATGTACCATTTTCTGAAGTTTTGACAAACTAGGATGTCCTAACCGTTTATGTAATAAATCTGGTGATTCAGTAACGGGACAAGTTTTTGGAGGAAGACAAGATGCGAGTCCATGTGATTTTGCAAGGATAAGGTAATAAAGTCCATCTGATTCACGTCCGGTACCAATGACCCGCCCTGTACTGCGTTCCTGTATAAAAACAAGGTCATCAAGAAATAAAACAACAGATTTAAGTGATTTGGCTAAGCGACTAACGGCTATGAGATTAAAAGGACTACCAGGAACATAAAGAACGGAGTCTAAAGGTAAGGAAGGAAGTGGACTTGCTTGACCTATTGCAATTGCCATGGCTTGAGACCCATTGGCCATTGCGACTGTTGGAAGAGATTGAGAATATGAAATATTAGTGAAAAGAGATTTGTTACCAGAAATATGATCAGATGCACCTGAATCAATGACCCAAGGCTCAGAAGGTGAAGATTGGGAGACACAAGTCATGCTACTATTTGTTGGAATAGCGGAGGCTAATCCTGAAGATGTCTGTTTACGTGCTTTGTACTGAAGGAACTCAATATAATCCGGTAAAGAAACCATCTGGATTGGATTCAATGCATTGGATCCAACGGATTATGAGTTAAAGGCTTCCGATACGAATGCCATTATAATATCGTGCCGGAAAAAGCAGAAATTTTCTGGGGATCATTGTTCTCGCCGGAAAAATCACTATAGCTCGCCGGAAAATTCCAAAGTTGTCGGGATCTGTCGGAAATAGTACCAATGGACTCAGAATTGCAAGGAGATGAAGCTGTCCTGAAGAATTTTTTTCAAAATCTGACCGGAAGAGGTCACACGCGCCGCCGGAAGCAGATCTCCGACCGGCGCGTGACGGCGCGTGGGTGAGTATTTTCCGGTGAATTTTTCTGGGGTTTGGTCGGATCTCTCTTGGGAACCTTGTGGTGGTGTTGGATTTTGCACAACGCTGATAATTAGTGACTTTGACGCAATCAGTCACTTAGGTCACCGGAAAATTGCACGGTGACTGAGTTCTTTCTTCCCGAATGTCGCTGGAATGACGCACAACGATCTCTTCTCACGGATGCTCTGATACTATGTGAGAATGCACGGGAGAAAAATCTATTTGATGAATTATGACAATGATACAATGAGCCCTATATATATAATACATGTCCTACTCCTAATACATATGGGATTAGAGTTATTTACTACTATTTAACTCTCAAACTAACAGTCTCTACCTCACACGAGGTAGGGGTAAGGTCTGCGTACACCCCACCCTTCCCAGATCCCACTTGTGGGATCATACTGGATATGTTGTTGTTGTAAGAGTTGGCTTTTTCTCTTAAAACTGTTGTTTTTACTAGTGAGCTTATAAACTGATTAATTTCTTGAAGCACCAATTTCTAATGATGTTCTACCACTTGTCTTGATATCATCTTACTTCATTCCCTCTTATCTTTTTTCTACATATTACTTCCGCAGCCTCTTTGTCAATCACTTCCTTTTAGTCATGCACTAAAACAGAAATAATAATTTGTACAGCTGTGGCATGTTTGTATTTGTAGTGTGTCGTGGAGGAAGTTCAGGGTCCAACTCAAGCTCGTGCTCGTAAAAGCAGATTTATATCAGGGTAATTACTTGTGAATAGCTCAAGGTTTCTGATAAGTACAATTTCCTTTCTGGGTGATATTATACAGTTTTAAATGTTTGTATATCTTGGATCTTTCAATGTACAGTTGAATCTTATTAATGTCGATGATGCAAAAATATTAGTTGTGAGAAATGCGAGTCAAGCGTTTATGCTAGCATGCTGAAAAGCTGAACTCTTTTTCTGAAAAAAGAAGTTAAACTTTTCAGCATGCTAGCATAAACCAAAGTATCTTAAATATTCATAAGACCATCATCACTGACTTTTTTATTTATTAGAAAACCATGCTGGACAGTCCTAACCTGTGGCAACTTACAATTGACTTCTTTTCAATATTTCAGGCATGCACATCCAGGCAGTCCCTATGTTTTTGGCCTTGTTGGAGATGATCAAGATCTTGATTTTCCAGAACCAATGCCTGTTGTTGGTATGGCAAAGCAAATTATTCTTGCATAGATTGGTTTCTCTTGCTATTTAGTATTGAAGCTTAATAATGGGTGCATTTATGGAACCAATGTTTTTACACAAATGATTTTGCAAGAACAAAGTCATTGATTCTAATCGTAAATTGTTTACTTCCAGGCCTGACTTCTTATCATTACCAGTATTCATAATGTTGGCCTTGTGTTTATCAATATTTTCTTCCCTGCCAATACACGTTCCAGCTTTACCTGTCATTATTACTTGACCACTACAACAACTACTGCTCTCAATTCCAAGCTAATTAGAGTCGGTTATATGAATCATCACTATCTATTTTGCTCCATATGGACCCATATCAATCCAAAATTTGATAATTCAGAGCTTTCCTACTCTAGAAGTTCTCTACATTTCTACTGACGAGTGACTGCTGCTTGACCATTTAAGTAAAAAAGACTTTTTTTGGCTTGTTAGCATCTCATAGTTATTAGTTACAAAAAGATTAAGAAATTTCATTTGCAAATCACAAACTAAGAGTTCTTATTTGGTGGATACAGGAATATCCCGTTCAGCGAAGGGGTATTGCGTTATCTCAGTTTATGAGACTATGAAGACTTACTCTGTGGAGGATGGCCTAACTGAAGAAGCCTTGGTTACCAAGCTTCGTACTTGTCGATGCCATCATTTGTTTTTGCATAATTCATTGAGGAACAATACTTCAGGTTTGCAGATCACTCTTTTTGTTTTTAGGCCAAATACATAGCCGACCCCTTAAACTTGTCACTATTTTTCACTTAAACACCTCAACTGCAACAGTGACCTATTAGACACTCGAACTATATTTAAACTGTGCCTATTGAGCACTTCACTCTGACTTGGCACAAAGTGTGAATGTCACCCAAGTTTGAGCGCGTGAATGAATGAAATAAAGGTGGATGACAATCACGTGTATGAACGAAGCAGGAGGAGAGATGAAGAAATCAGAGAAGGGTATTTTGTCTTTCTTTATTTTCCATATGTCATTAAATGATTCGTGGGTCTGCCATGTTTGAGCGCTTGACAATCACGTGTTTAACTTTTGTGGAAGAGTTTATATGAGGTGCTCAATAGGCACAGTTGGAATATAGTTGGAGTGTCTAATAGGTCACTGCTGTAATTGAGGTGTCTAAATGGAAAATAGTGACAAGTTTAAGGGGCTGGCTATGTATTTGGCCTTGTTTTTATCATTGCTAATTAGGGAGCAAAGTGGCTTATGTAATGGATCTAATAGGCTAATAACCACATACTCGGACATTCTAATTTTAGCTGCATATATCTGTTTGGATATAATGTGGTTGAGGTTAAATTTTGAGATAGAGAGACCAGTTCACCGTGTCACTGCAGGAGAACAATTTGATTGGCCATTTTTATATGCTATCGCCACTTTGTTAGCCTGTACTTAAAATTTAGCCACAGTTCAATTTTTTTTACAAATATAGCCACTTCTTCTTCCCACCAGTTTTATAGAATTTCACTTCCAACTGCCTACTTGTCAATGTATGACAACCTACCCTACTGATTCTACTAGCTAATCGACACAGAAAACCTGAACGGGTTACTTTCAATCTTTTTCTTATAGAGACAATTGGGGCACTTGAAGTATGGAGAAATATTCATGGGTGTTAGCAAAATTTGTGAAATGGAAGTGGAGATATAGTAGTTCAAATTTCAGAAATTACTCTATTTATATATTTTAATGGAGCAATTGCCGCGTAATTACTTTCAATCTTTTTCTTATAGAGACAATTAGGGCACTTGAAGTAGCGAGAAATATTCATGTGTGTTAGTAAAATTTGTGAAATGGAGGTGGAGATATTGTAGTTCAAATTTCAGAATTTACTCTATTTATGTATGTAATTGTTATTCAGTCCTTCATTTTGCTGGAGGGTTTCCTCTCAGGAACATCACGTTGGGGGGAGTTTGGTGAAGGTGGACTTTTGTGGGGAGAATGTAATGCTAGACAGCATGAATGGTTGGATGGCAATCCTATCGATGAGCTTTTGTTCAAGGTTTGCTTCAGATCATTTCATTTTTTGTGACACTACCTGTTACTTCAGTTTGAACTACATGAAAAGTAATGCAATTTCAGGTAAAAGAGCTTTATGGTCTCAATGATGACATTACATTTCGAAATGTCACTGTTGTTTCAGAAAATAGGCCCCGTCCTTTACACCTTGGAACCGCCACACAAATTGGTAATGCTTAAATTATTCATTTCAGTTGCATTTTGTCACTGTCTGGTGGTGTCACCCTAGGCTAAAACATCACTTTCTGGGGTTTGTTAATTTTAGGTGCTATTCCAACCGAAGGAATTCCATGTTTATTAAAGGTGTTGCTTCCTCCACACTGCAATGGTCTACCAGTTCTGTAAGTGAGCATCGTTTTTCAGCAAACAACTGCCTGGCCTTACTGCATGGAGTTCTCTCCGTTTCTCTCTAGAAACCTACACCCCCCTGCCCCCACCGCTCATAAACCGGCAGGAAATATTTTGTATATGTGCTGCTATAATTTTTGCTCCAAACAATCCTTGTCTCAGCGACAGAACTGTCAGCAGCAAAGGTGTTGGGATCACTGTTCTATACAGCAGCATTAGACAATGACTGATTCTGTTTGACATTGAAAACCTATAGCTCCTTAAGAACTCAAATTTATTTATCCGACCTGATACTTGTGTTTTTGTTGTATAGAGGTCCATATGTATAGGTACTTCACAATCTCTGAAAATTTACAGTGGTTTAGCTTGACAGAAGGATACTTGGGGGGGGGGGGGGGGTGTCAGAGAGTGGGAGGTAACTGTTAAGTTTAAGGAGGAAAAGGGTACATGGGGTTCAAAGAATTGATCTGTGGTCTGGGTGTTTTAGTTAGAAAAGAATAAAGAAATCCTTTTTGTTTTCACTGTGGAATCTGTTTTTTCTTTTATCTGCCATATAGTAATACTGATGATTTAAATTTTACATACTTACATGGATGTGATCTCCTATATATTCTAGAGATTGCCTTGTGTCATACCATATAGCTCTTTGCCTAGTTTTGTCTAGCTCTGTTCCCACACTTGTAATTCTTCCTCCTTGCTCCATGGTAATAGCGACGAGTCAATCCTTTCTATTAAGCTGCTTTTAAATTACGTGAACACTTGACGAGTAGCTTACTCCATTGCTGTAAGCTGATTTTGTAGACTGCATACATTGGATATGGGTTAGTGCTATATACTCATCATCCTTGAATCGCCCCAAAAGAGTGTTTCTATTCTTTATGTGGTTAGGATAATACTTCAAGGAACACAGTTAAAACTTATATTTGTCACATCCCCCACTTCATCGATATAGTAGACTCTATCCAAGCTACAAGAGAGATGTAACCCCTAACAAAAACAGACACAAATGGAGTATTCCTTCTGATTTTTGTTGCTTAATACATGTAACTAGTTTCACTTAGGCCTCATTTTAAACTGTACATCCCACTTAGTATTTCTTTAGAGAAAGTTTTCAGGTCAATAACTCCTCTTCTTTCAGCGGTTACGACCTACCAAATACTGAATTTTGTTTGAATGCTACGTTGAAGTGATTATTTATTCCTCCTGGTAGTTAACATATATCTTTTTTGTCTAACTTGTATCATTTTTTGGATTGTTCATTTACTTTTTATAATGTCCTTTTTAAATTTATTGTCATTCTGGTATTCATGATGTCTGTGATATTATTTCTATCAGGTATGTTAGGGATCTTCTTTTGAATCCACCGGCCTATGAGATTGCTTCAAAACTTCAAGGTGAGAAATGCCTTGTGTAGATATTCGTGCATTCCCACTTGTTCATGGCGGCAATCATTTCACTAATTACTGCATGATAGATTTGATCAGTTTTTAAGGTCTTATTTACAGCTTTAACTATGTTTTGTTGTCACATCATAGTGAGTGAAGCCCCCACCGTACTCTTTCTCTCACACATTGTTTAGGTCTTGATGATTGTAATGCTCTATATGATTCTTGCATTTTATAATAATTCCTATTTCCTTGCTTAACCAAAGAATAAGAATATTCTTTTCTCTTGAACAGGTGAACCTTACTAGTGAGGTTCTGCAAGTATGTTCTCTAAAAAGAGAGTTTTAATTAACTAATTGTTTTTTATCCTTCTTTTTTGTGCGTTAAATCCATGGTAGTTAAAAAAGCTCGCCTTCTCTAAAAAGAGAGTTTTAATTAACTAATTGTTTTTCATCCTTCTTTTTTGTGCGTTAAATCCATGATAGTTAAAAAAGTTCGCTCCCCCCCCTCTCTCTTTTCACGTGCAAATAACACAAATGTAACAACCAATAAAGCTTTGGAATTTTGAAGAATTGTTTCTTTTATAAAGTGTTACTTTTCTAAGGTTTCCTATTTTTCAGTATACTCTCGCTTTTGCCCTTTCTTTAATGAAATTTATTACTTTATAAAAGAGAAGCATTACAGCCTCCCTACTTTCCCGGGTAGGGGTAAGGTTTGCGTACACTCTAGCCTCCCCAGACCTCACTTGCGGGAACTCACTGGGTGGTTGTTGTTGTTGTTATAAAAGAGAAGCATTACTTCATTGATCAGCGGGAAAGTCACTGTATGCATGTGGTATACTCAATGTGGAAAACTTACATAAAAACATGGTTCTGTACAAAAAGCATCCAATCATTTATGCCAATTTAAGGGCCTTATGGGTGTACCAAAAGTTTATAAATTTGTCCTATTTTGTAGAGAACTTATTGAAGATCATATTTTGCTGAAATTGTTCTCATATGTATGTTTAAAGCAAACACGTGGATGCTTTTCTCTGACATTCTCTATTGATTTATAAAAAACTATTACTACTAGTTCAGAAAGAAAAGTTGACTCAATAAAGTCAATTGAAGCTCCATAGTTTTGCAGTTTAGTGAAGCTAAGATCTAGCTGTAAGCTTTGAGGTTTCATTGAGCTTGAGTTTTCTTAAAGCACAAGCGGTATCGGACTTTCAGCTAAGACCACAGAGGTTGAACAATGGCTAATTTGCCCTAATTTGGGCAATGCCCAACTTTTTGAGATTAGGACTTAGTCATGTTGGTACACTTACTCTAAGTCTGGCGTTTGCCACAAGTCTTTTTAGTTTGTTAAGAACTTTGTTAGGAAAAAGTGTAGAGAACCTCTAGTAACAGAGAAATCCTAACTTGTAAAACACAAAAACTAAGTATTAGAATGAAATGCTTCAAATGGAGCTAAGTTGAAGGATTCATAGAGCTGACCTCAATTAGTTTGGGATTGAGGCATAATTATTATTGTTTTCTTTTGCCCTGACGTGGAGAGGGGAGGGCAGGAGAGAGACTTGTTAATGTCAATGCAATTTCAGAGGAGTCAAATATGGATAATATGTCCGTGCCTTCTTTTTTTATCTTCAGTGCTGATAACTGGCGCATTTAATTTTTATACACTAATATTTTCATTTGCTTTTGCAGAGGCATGCAAACTTATGATGAGTGTCACTTGTTCAATTCCTGATTTTACTTGTATTTCATCTGCAAAGGTTGTACTTCAATATTCAATTTATTCCTTCTGCACAACTTACTTATTTTCAGTAGATATGCAGATATTTCGCAATGAAGTTGTGTTCATTTGCTGTAACAAAATCTTGCATCTTAACTAGTAAACTTGGGTTGTTTTATTTTGGTAAGATTTCTTGCATGAAATAAGAGCCTACGTAAAATGCTGATGCCTTTTGATTAAAAGTCCAAGGCTCTATGATTTCAATGACTGCTCAGCCCTCTCTTTTCTCAGTTTAAAAGTGAATGAATTGGTAGCTAGTTATAGCTTAACGTTGGAGTTTCCGAGGCCCTTTGTGCACCAAGATTATTTCGTCTGAATTCATCACATGTTTCTTGTTGCTTATTCGTCTTTGAGATTCAGAATAAGATTGGTTTCTCTTGTTGAGTTATTATCTCTGGACGAACTTTTCCTTGTTGTACCCTCTTTACTTTGGTTGGTGTGGAACTTTTCCCTTATGAATAATGCAATAAAACTGATGATTGCAATGAATTTTTTGGATGTACCATGCTTTTTGGAGATATGTTAAGTCCATTAATTCTGTCTACTTATTCTGAACTTGTCATCAGAATAGCAGCATTGATACTTCTGTCTACTATTCATTCCATAAGAAGTTGGATCTGGCATTATGTTATGTGTTTGGAGTTCCAAACCTTGTGCTAGGTAGGAAAACTTCAACAGAGTGTAAAAAGAAGAAGCAAAAAACAAAAATAAACTTCTCTCTTCCTGCTTTTCCTTCTCAAACAATTTTTAGCCTCCTATGCTTCAGTTTGTAAATGCTACTGTTGAGATTTTTGTTGTCTATTTACAGCTGGTCAAGTTGCTTGAGTTGAGGGAGGCAAATCATGTAGAGTTCTGCAAAATAAAGAATGTGGTCGATGAAATACTGCAGATGTACAGAAATTCAGAGCTTCGTGCTATTTTAGAGTCACTGATGGATCCTACTTGGGTGGCAACTGGGTTAAAAGTCGATTTTGATACACTAGTAAGTGATGTTGGGGCTTCTATTCCACATCCAATTCTCACGTAGAGTTCCTGTAGAGTATATAAATTATTGAGTGATGTTTAAAGAGCAATAGTCTTGTTTACTCCAGTTTGGGATAGATGAACAGGAATCATTCAGCCTTTCTTTTGTTGCTTTTTGCATTGTATGAGCTTAGTAACTTTCTAGCAAGAATGTATCTTGTCATTTGAACGACTCTTGCATTAGGTTTTAAAATTTCTTTTAACATTGTAATAGCTCGTCTACTTTTTATACCTGGCAAGAACCTTTTATGTCAACTCTATTACAACTCTAGGTGATCGGTAGAAAGCTTAAATGTATGAAGATCATCAAAAGAATTGAAGGAAAACTAAATCATGATACTTCTTTTGGGGGACATACCCAATGGATCATAGCGTATACATAGGTTTAATAGCAATTAGAGGTTTGTAGTAATCCTTGAATATACTAGAATTGTAAACTTTGTTGATCATAGTTTAGCTTCCTGGTAAGAGACATGCACAGGCCTCTTGCTTTTTCTGTTAGTCTTTCTACTCAAGTAGGGTTTATGCCAATTTTACTTTTTGCCTCTTTAGTTAGGTACGTGCCCCGTGTGCTCTTCGTAGCTTCTCCGGTATTGACAAATTTGACTTAGATTTTGTTTTTGCCATTCTTGCAAAAGGCGCTTTGATATTAGATCTGATTAAGGTTAACCCGTTGTTACTTCAGGTGAATGAATGTGGAGAGATTTCTGGTAGAATCAGTGAAATAATATCTGTACATGGCGAAAGTGATCAAAAGATAAGTTCCTATCCTATCATCCCAAATGATTTTTTTGAAGATATGGAGTCTCCGTGGAAAGGTCGTGTCAAGAGAATCCATTTGGAGGAAGCATATGCAGAAGTAGACAAGGCTGCAAATGCTTTATCTTTGGCTGTGAGTCTCTTTTTATTTATCTTCGACAATCCTAATGATTTACAAGTTGTGCATCTGTGTGCGCTTTAATACTCTTTCATTAGCTAAGATATACATTGCTGTAAAGGCAGTCAGCTTTTCAACGTCAAGTAAAAGCCTTTTTGATAAATCCAGTAATATTATCTAGGAATTTACTGACCGATGAACAATTTTGGGGTAATCGATAGACAAATAAAACAAGGTAGTAACATTTTAATAGCGGCACTGAATTAACTGAGATATTGTTGAACTGGTTGGTTCTAACCAGATTGAAATCATGAGTTTGAAACAAGTGATCTGTAAAATTTAAGTTTTCAGAAAAAAGCAGTTTTAATTGCTCCAGCCAAATAGATCCTGACGCTATAGAAGTTTGTACTTTATAGCAGCTGCAACCGTGAAAGTCGGATCCAAGACTCCCAGCCAAGGAAAAAAAAAAGAAAAAGAAAAAAGAGGCACACAAGAATCTTATACCAATGAACTTGACAACCAAATTCACAAATATTTAAGTGGGCTTTCATTCTCTTTCTAGATAACAGAAGATTTCCTGCCTATTGTTTCAAGAATAAGGGCCACTATGGCCCCCCTTGGAGGAATCAAAGGGGAGATTCTGTATGCTCGAGAGCATGAAGCTGTATGGTTTAAGGGGAAGCGCTTTATTCCAACTGTTTGGGCTGGAACACCTGGTGAAGAACAAATTAAGCATCTCAGACCTGCTATAGATTCAAAGGGGAAGAAGGTTGGAGAAGAATGGTTCACTACAATGAGGGTGGAAGATGCAATAGCAAGGTTCCTATGTTACATTTACATTGAAGCCGATTTGTGTCTTACAATGAAATTCTTTTTCTTCGCTAAATAATTGTTTGGATCTCTTTCGCAGTTACCATGACGCAAGTGCTAAGGCAAAATCAAGGGTCTTGGAATTGCTAAGGGGACTTTCTTCTGAATTACAATCTAAGATCAATATACTTATCTTTGCGTCCGTCTTGATTGTGATAACAAAGGCATTATTTTCTCATGTGAGGTTAGTGGCACCATCCTACTGATCAAAAAGCAGTTTCTTCATCCCTTCCTTTAGGGGCTGCTTCTCTGCCCCTCCACACCTTTGGGGGTGGGGTCCTGCAATTTCTAGTTTTTGTTGGCTAAAACTCCCTAAAGAGTGTACTTATCTTTTTTATATTTACTTTATTTCTGATATTTGCATTTGTATTTGCAACTGGATCATGAGTCTATAATGTGGAAGGTTGCTTTTCAGAAATATGACTTTGCGCTGATGAACAACTTAATACTTCTCTACACAAAGAATCATAGTGATGCTGCTAGACGCCATTTGTCCCATCTCCAGATACTTTAAATTTTTTTTTATCATGCTTACTTAAGATCCATAAATTCCGTCATGGATTTTTGATTATAATTATAAACTCCAGTTCAAGCTGTAAAGTTGTTAAATTTCTGAAATTTTCTCATCAATTGCCGAGGGTCTATTGGAAACAGCCTCTCTACCTGCATTAGGTAGGGGTAAGGTCTGCGTACAGACTACCCTCCCCAGACCCCTCCTGTTGGGATCAGACTGGGTTTGTTGTTGTTGTTGTTGTCTCATCAATTGCCAATGGCGAAAGGCTTTTATTTTGAAGAGCTGAATATGAATGTGTTTTGAACTTTGCGTTACTTTTTCACATTTCTTGTTTACCTTTCCCCAGAATTGAGCTCATAATCTTAATCTTTGGTTTCTTATCAGCGAAGGTAGAAGAAGGAATTGGGTTTTCCCAACAATTACACAATTTAACAAATGTCAGGTACTCGGAATCTGTACTTCCTTGACGTGTTTAAATATTAGTACCTCCAAAGGTTGGAATAAAATTAACACATCACATATCCACCAGATGAATTTGAAAAATTTCACAACTAGTTGCAGGAGAATACATTTTCAGATTTTGGTTGTGTTGACTGGTGCATTAGTGCTCTGTGGTACTTTTTGTGGAAGACTGCATAAAGAGAAACATATAGCATCTAACTGGTCTCATTCTTTGGGCAAGTATTCATATATTTATGTGTTATTCCAATTACATGACATCAAAATGCAGGACACAAAGGCACTTGATGGAACTATGGGAATGAAGATAATTGGTCTATCCCCTTATTGGTTTGATGCAACGCGAGGTACTGGTGTACAGAATACAGTAGATATGCAGTCAATGTTTCTTTTGACAGGTCCAAATGGTGGGGGCAAATCAAGCTTGCTGCGATCATTGTGTGCAGCTGCATTGTTAGGAATGTGTGGATTCATGGTTCCAGCTGAATCAGCTGTCATTCCTCATTTTGATTCAATTATGCTGCATATGAAATCATATGATAGTCCTGCTGATGGAAAAAGTTCATTTCAGGTAATATTATATGTTCCATAGTCTTGAATTTATAGCATAGACGGTTTTCTTCTTGTCCTATTTGCTAGAGGCCTAGTTCTTTATTAGGAAACAAACAAAAACATAGGTGCTGTATCATGATGCATGCCGCGATTGTAGCAACTAGGCGTTTCACTCTTTGCATGCATTTGCTCGCACCTGATGATTTTAGCTTGTTAAGAATACTTGTATTTGATTGTAATCCATGGTCAAGAGGGATGGATAATTCCTGGAATTATTTAGTTAGACTTTTCGGTGCGACTTATCTCCTTATCCTCTCCACCCTGAAGAGTGGATTGATTGGTATAGTGGATGTATGACAAGAACTTTTTGTGGTCATCTTGGCAGAAAAATCTTTAGTACATAGCAGTTCTGGTTTTCAACTATAGTTTTCTTATGATACAAAAAGGTAATATTTCTCTTCTAGTTATTTTATTGGTCCTAATTATGGAGTCACCTTCTTTTGCATGTCTCTTTGATTAATCTATAGGTGATAACGGAGTTAGTTTCATTTATGTCATGTTCTTTCTGAGAGTGAAGCTATTTCAGTCTTTTGTGTGTATAATCTTGACTCTAGGTGTCGGTATTTTTGTTCATCAGTTTTCACTTTTCCTTACTGAAATAGTAGTCTCTTGGCTTTTCTGAAGGCAACATTCTGACTCTCAGCTGTCTAACATGTCTCAGATTGAAATGTCTGAAATTCGTTCTCTGGTTACTGGTGCCACTTTAAGAAGTCTTGTGCTTATAGATGAAATATGTCGAGGAACAGAAACGGCCAAAGGGACATGTATTGCTGGAAGTGTTATAGAAACCCTGGACGCAATTGGCTGTTTGGGAATTGTATCAACCCACTTGCATGGGATTTTTGATTTACCCCTGAAAACCAAGAGGACTGTGTATAAAGCAATGGGAACTGAGTATATTGACGGTCAAACAATACCAACTTGGAAACTTATTGATGGGGTCTGTAAAGAGAGTCTAGCATTTGAAACAGCTCAGAGAGAAGGAATTCCAGAAATATTGATTCGAAGAGCAGAAGAATTGTATAATTCAGCTTATGTGAATCAGATATCAAAGAAGAAAGACCAAATAAGACCTGTTTGTTCAGATTTTGACCTCAATAGCACAGATAAAATCTCTGACCAATTAAATGGTGCAAGACAAATAGCTTTGGATTCTAGCACAAAATTAATGCAGCGAATGGGAAGTGCAAGCAAGGAACTTGAAGATGCTATCTCTCTTATCTGTCACAAGAAGTTAATCGAGCTGTGTAAAGTGAAAAATGCGTCAGAAGTGGCAGCGGTGAATTGTGTTCTCATTGCTGCCAGGGAACAGCCAGCTCCATCAACAATTGGTGCTTCAAGTGTATATATAATGTTGAGACCTGACAAAAAGTTTTACGTTGGACAGGTACGTTTTTCCCTTCCTAAAGTGCAACCATATGCTGTCGAATCAATTGTTTTATGTGATGTTAAATTGTATCAAGATGCTTTACGAGTTGGAGGAAGCATGCACATTGGCATCTCATGAAGAATTGAGCCCATTTTGTTCTCATAAATTGTTTCGCTGTTTTTCAGAAGTTTCTTTTCTTTGAAATACTTTTTCAAATTTGTGGAGGTACTTGTGTTCAAAGATGTTTTGAAATGAATGGTCCAACAGACAGATATCATTTACTTATCCAAATGAATCCTATGGGCACATCTGCAAAAGCTAGTAGTCCTTTTGGTTATTTTGAACTATTACTTCTATTTACATACTATAGCTTAACATTCTTCTTTCTCTATTATTTGTACAGACTGATGATCTTGAGGGCCGAATCCGTGCTCATCGGTTGAAGGAGGGAATGGAAAATGCTTCTTTCCTATATTTCTTAGTCCCTGGCAAGAGCATAGCCTGTCAACTGGAAACTCTTCTAATAAACCAACTTCCTGATTATGGCTTTCCGCTAACAAACGTTGCTGATGGTAGGCATCGTAATTTTGGCACGACTAGTCTCTCCCTGGAACCTTCAACCGCGCTTAGATGAATCCGCTATCAGCTTGTTGCGGAAGAGTTCAAGTTGGTGTATAAAAATTGAGGTGTGAAATTGAGGTGAATTCTGATGTAAGTTAATATTCCTAATTTTTTTTAGTTATGACATACCATTTTCATCTTATTTCCTTTTTGAATGTCTAACTATACCCCAATTAGATTTTTTTTTTCTATTTAATTCATTATGTTTAGTTTGAGCAAAATTCATGGGTGTTTTTTTAAAAGTTATTTCTCTTACTTCTCTTAATTGCAGGGACGAATCTAGTGCAATAGGTACGGGTTCACATGAACCCAGTAACTTGCCTAGACCTGTTTTTTTTAATTAAAACCATTAATTTTATAAGAATATTTAGCTTAGAACCCAGTTCATTGGTTCAAATATTAGTGTATATTAATTTGAGATCGTGTAGGATAAACTTAAAATTCTGGATTCACCTTTGCTTAATTATGCTTGACTTTATTACCAACTTTTACCAAATCAAAACCCCCCCCCCCCCCCCCCCCCATTTTCATTCTTCAGTGTTTGGTTGCTAAAAATCGCCTATTCAATTTTTCGTTTCTTTTTTACCTATCATATTTCACGATTAAAGCATCGCGTAATAGGTTACATCTATTTACGTAATCGTTGTTATGATGAGAAAACATTTTCAATATGAAGCATAGATATATGTAAAAAATTCTAAAAATTTAACAAATTTTAAAGTCTGAAACCTACATTCTAGAAGTGCAATAGGTTGGGTGGCAAAAATCTTGGAAGTCGAACCAGTAAATTTATATTTGAATTCGCATTTTAGAACGATCACAAAACAAAAGCTAATATGAATGTAATTGAGATGTGCTGTTAAAATGATCAGATGACACAAAATACTTGCAATTAAAGTATATCATTAGTTTTTCATATATGGATTATATATAAATAACTTTATTGATGTACAAGGTTAACTTTATTGATGTACAAGGTTAATTCTTTGACCCAAAATTAAGATCTGGGTTCAACCAATTAGATTTAAATAAAGTAAAGTCAATCTTAGCTAATATTAATATACAAAAGACATAATAACCGATTTTGTAGTAGAAAATATGTATGTTTGACCGAATGGCAATGAATGTGGATAACACTAACAATATTTAATTACCAAAAAGGTGGAAGATATCATTAAGTAATAATAAATAGCAATGAATGACATTTATGTAAATAAGAACATGCGAGTCACCCGAAAAAGGGGTGAGATTTGTGGATATTCCTTTTGACAATGATGAATGATTGATGAGCCTTCGAGTGTTCAAACAGTATTGGATCTAGTGGAAAAGTTATGCAAGGATCTTAGTAAAAAGGCATTTCTTGTGTGCTTGCAATAAAGCAAGATTCTCTCCATAAAGTCGATGTGTTTTCTTACAAATGAATATCTTATGTCTCCTATCCTCCGGTCTCTTTCTATTTATAGGGAAAATATACCTAGAATACCCTAAGGAGTCGTTTGGTTGGAAATAGGTCATCCCACTATTAATTATCCTGGGGATACTTATCCCTGTATTAGTTATTTCACCCTTCCACAGGAATAAAAAAATACTACAATCCCGGGATAACTAATATCGGGATTAGTTATACCGCTATTTTATCCCAACCAAATATGGTATAAACTCACTTCAAATTTAATCCCAGAATTAATTATCCCTTATACCTCATACCAAACGAGCCCTAAGAGTACATGTACAGAGAATATCCACTAGAATATTTATCGTAAAACTAGCCGTTATTCACTCTATCTACGGTGAGTGCTCGACCTCGACCCTGATCTTCGCCGACAGTTCGATCTTGATCTCTGCCGACTCTTCAACCTTGTTCTTCAACAACTTCATCGGCCCTGCCCGTTCACTTACTTAAGAGATCCCTTCGACGTCGGGCAGGCCTTTATCGAAGTCATATTGTCGACACGTGGCAATCCACAGTTAGTCCTTCCGCTTATTGAGGTCGTCCTCACAGGTGAGTTTAATGAGCGGGTAATGTCGTTCGTGGTCGAACTTATCGAGTAAGCTACAAGAGTCATAGTCGTTATGGCAAACATGCAATGTGGCCCTCTGTGGACTGCGTATTTCAAATACCTCAGTTTTCCGGGGTGATTTGTTGGAGTTATCTTGTCCGAGGGTTAGAATGATGTCTTGACATCATGCGTCATTATGAAGCATATTCCCGATGCGCAGCTTCGATTCGTGTGTGACCCTTGATTGGATCTGCCGTTTCGATTTCGGTGCCAATTATGGCGAGCCGTTTTCGGGTTTAATGCCATGACTTCTATAAATAGAGGTTCTTGGACCTGAACTTGAAGTTTTGTTCTTCTAACATTTCGAAGCGTCAACCTTCTTCTCTGCATTTTTCTTCTTTGAACCTCCTTTCCCTATTTCGTTTCCCTTCATCATTTCCCATTCTCTCCCGTTTTTTTATCACCTTGAAACATGTCAAACTTACCCTTAGATGCCGTGAAGGGAGTCACGTTGCTCCCTTGGCAGTTGTGTTTCCCTCCTGTAGGGAGAGTGTTTCTCCCATTGTTGAGGATGAAGCATTCCCGTCAGTGGAGGAAATAATCTCCCGCAATCCCAACGTCAGGTCTGATCTCACCCAATCACCGGACGCTGTACCCGGGATTTTCCTATCGACGACGACGTCCAAAGAATTGGCAGAATTCAAGGCCAAGTTCGGTCTTCCAAATCACGTCAAATTGATCTCGGCTGAAAGGGACACGGTACAGGTTCATCGCCCTGGATACTGTGCTCTATACGCCTATCCCTTCCTTATCAGTTGTACTTTCACCCTCCTTCCGTTGGTGGAAGAATTTTGTCGTCACTACGACGTCTGCCCTACTCAGCTTGCGCCATACATCTACACGATTATTAGAATGCCGACCAAATTTGTCGAGCTGGCCCGGGTCGAACTAACACTGCAGAATTTGGTGCATCTATTCGCCCCTAGCTTTTATAGGGGAACGATGCTGAACCTTCACCAAAGTGGAGGCAAATGCTTGGTAATGATGACGTACGATAAGGCCAGTCGTCAGTTCTGGCTCAATTTCTTCTATGTCAGGATTGAGGACATTGTGGCTAACGTCGATGGCTTTCCTGAGGCTTGGAACTACACACGTAATTCCCACTTTTTATTTGCGTTCTTTTACTTGCTTGGAATTAGTTGAAGGATTTGTCTTTCCTTGCAGCCAACAACCACCCTCCTCTTTTAGTCACGCGCATTTCCGATGTCGAGCAAATCCTCCCCTATGTCGTAGGAATCCACGACTGCCAAGCTTCTTCAAGAAGTTCAAACCGACTCTTCCTTCGATAGGTAACTTCTTCTCTTTGTCGTGGTCTTTTCACTTTTCGTTGTATGTCGATTCGTTCTACTAACTTCAACGTTTGTCTCTTTCTCAGGCAGAGTGTCTTCTCGGAGGGGCCGGGCACAAGTGCCTTCTTTTTGGAGGAAGACTGTTGCACCTTCAGCTTCTGCCCCTGTTGCGACTACCGCACCTTCCGTACCGGCCCCTACCTTGGCTACCGCAGTCCAAGAGCCTGCCTTCATTCTGTCCGCTGCTTCTGCTCCACAACTCTTTTCGTTGGTGGATGAGGACGACGATATCTCCCCTGAAGATGGTGGTCTAATACCCCGTAAGAGAAGAGCTGTAGACGCGGGAGAAGAAAGGCCAATAGCCGTCGACTTAGAGAAGGGCGACTTCGCTCTTCGAGAGACGTCCGTAGTGCATGTTGGAGAGAGCATTGGGATGGAATCCGAGGCCCCGCACCTAGAGAATATGAACATGGATGCATCGGTGCATCCTACGGGGGAGACGGTTGAAGGGAGGATGCCTGACGGCAGCCTCGCACTTCTGAGGTAAGAGGAGGCTTCGTCCTCTTGGGCTGCAATGATGTTCCCTCGTCTGCTGGTGACAGGGAAGACCATTGCTGAGAAGGACGCTGGGTCTGACTCTGATATGGATCTGGACGAGTTGAGGATGATTGATAAGGGGCTTACTCAACTTGAGGTGAGGATGGGAAGGGGCTGCAGGACTATTACTATCCCAATGGATCATAATCTGCTTGTAAATACCGAGGAGGTAGTCCCTGCCCTCAGACCTCTTTGTTCTGAGATTGAGGGTACGACCCTCGAGACGATAAAAGATGGTACTCTATCGAATGACATTGCTGGTCTCGCTCTCCGGGTAAGTATGACTATCGTCTGTTCCTTTCCTTATGCCTTAGTTTCTTTGCAAGTTCTAACACCTTTTCTTTGTTTTGTAGATGGATATTCTGGAGATTGAGAGTGCTCGACGGGAGAGGAGACGTAAAGAAATTTATGTGAAGCTGAAAGATAAGTATAAAACGTTCCTTAGAAAGTACCAGGAGCTCTGGTGTCGGTTTCGCGAAGGTGGCGATGTGCGGATCCTGAGGGAGGACTTGAAGAAGACGGATGAAGAGCTGATGCATGCCGTTGAGAAATGTAGCGTCCTTAAAGGGACATTGAGGAACAAAGAGAAGGAGCTCGAGCTTAGTAGGGGTGTAGAGGCCCAATGCAGTGATCTCCAAGCCCAAGTGGTCCGGCTACTAGGCGAACTTGAAGAGTGCCAGTTCAAGGCAGTGGCTCTTAGTGGCGAGCTCGCCGTGAAGGAGGAGGAGCTCGACAAGGCGGAGTCTGCTCAGTCGGAGGCTCGGAGGAGGGTGGAGTTCCTTGAATTGGCGAACTGTACCCTTCATTTTGAGCAAGAAAATGACATGTCCATGGCAAGGGCTAAAGAGAAACGGCTTGATGAGAGGATTGGGGAATTGGAAAAAGAAACCTCTGATCTTTATGATTGACTTGCTGCTCTGGAGGCCGAGAAGGCCCAACTTCTTGCACGACCTTATTCGTCTACTGTTCCTAGCTTTCCCACGTCCCCTGTGAGCTATATGAAGAATGGATTCATGCCGAGGCCCGACTGGATGTTCTTCGTGATTTGCATGCGACGGGCCCCGTTTCTGGAGCGTCCTTTGGGGATGCTCGGGTCAAGGCTCGCGAAGCTTAGATTTCTTGTGGCTACAACCCTGCTATACTCGCCCTGACGAAGAAGATGAGAACAAGGAGGATGCTATGGATCATCTTGAGGAAGA